CTCTCTCTCTCTCTCTCTCTCTCTCTCTCTTCCTCCCTTCCTTCCTTCCTTTCTTCTCTCCCGTCCTCCCTTCCTTTCTTCTTCCTTTCCTCCTTCCCTCCTTTCCTTCCTCCCTCCTTCCCTCCTTTCCTTCCTCCCTCCCTCTATTCCTCTATCGCTTCCCTTCTTTCCTCCCACCCTCCCTATCTGTCCCTCCTTCCTTCCTTCCCTCCTCCCTTCCTCCCTTCCTTCCTTCCTTCCTTCCCTTCCTTCCCTCCTTTCTTCCTTCCTTCCTTCTTTCCCTCCTCCCTTCCTTCCTTCCCTCTTTCCCTTGCTCCTTCAATTCGTCTATCACTTCCCTCCCTTCCTTCCCTCTTTTCTTCCTTCCTTCCTTCCCGCCTTCCTTCCCTCTTTCCCTTCCTCCTTCAATTCGTCTATCACTTCCCTCCCTTCCTCCTTCCCTCTTTTCTTCCTTCCTTCCTTCCTTCCCTCCTTCCCTCTTTCCCTTCCTCCTTCCCTCTTTCCCTTCCTCCTTCAATTCGTCTTTTACTTCCCTCTCTTCCTTCTACCCTCCCTTCCTTCCCTCTTTTCTTCCTTCCTTTACTCCTCCCCTTCCTCCCTCCCTCCCTTCCTTCCTTCGAATGTTGTTTGGTACAGGCAAAATTGGACGGGGCCTAAGTTATCCAGAAAATTCGTTAAAGATAATTAAACAACAAGTTTGGTTACAAATTGGTCATTTTTCCTTTTTATTAAATGAAATACTTACAAACGTATTCCACCAAACAGTACATATTTTACAAGACATTACTTAAATAAGTGTTACAGCAAGTAAATAAGTTAAGTTTAGAAGAAAAAAAACAGACATTCCAAAATATCAATTTTATATTTAATATCAACGTCAGTATAACTGAATAGTTTATTTCCATTTTAGTTCAATAAGATATTTACATCTGATATCGGGGTCCGGGTCTTTTTTACAAGACAATATTTAAATAAACTTGTATTACAGTAAGTAATAGCCTGAGAAAACAGCCGAAATTTGGCGACGTTACCACTGGTTTCCCCCGCCAAATGACATCTGAGAAACGAGCGCAGAAATTCAATACTGATGACGCGTCACTACCCAGATCTGGATAGTGCTTCTGATTGGTTGAATCAAATGTCCCAAGCGTCACGATCAATCAGAAGCACTACCCAGATCTGCGTAGTGACGCGTCATCAGTATGGAATTTCTCAGGCTAAGCAAGTAAGAAAAGGGCTGTTATTCCTTTGCAACGAAGGAAGCACTTTTTTGTCAACTTAGGTGCTGTGCGGCGACATTTTCTCCCTGTCAGTAGAGCCTTTCGCTCGCCTGCTCGATCCTTCGCATACTCGAGAAAGACTCTGCATGAATCAAGGAAGATCGGTGTTGAACATGCGCGGCATATTGCCCAGTACGATATAGTTTCGAACCTAAGCCTAATAGCCGTGCGCTTGCAACTGCGGGTTAGGTTTTGACCGTTGGTTTAATAATAAATGGATGCTCGCGCACGAAAAAACAGTTTGACGAAAGAAAACAAGATTGACTAGTCCAGACGTTCGGGTTGCGGCGAGTCGATTCAAGCAGAGCCTTTTTTTTCTCGCCTTTAATCAAGACGACTAGAGAGGGCTCTGTTTTCGGGTGCTTCGTTGTAGTCTTGCATCAGGCAAGTTTCAATACGTGTAAATTAACGTTTAATATTCATGGCTTTTGCATTTAGATCATCACTAGTTCCTCTGCTTGCGCCCCTTGGATCATTTTCAGCTGGCTCTACTTGAGAGCCGTGTTTAACGTTCATAACCGTCCTTCCCACTGTCGGGCTATGATCCCTGAGCTTATTCTCATCCTTCTTGATTACCCCCATTTCATTTTGTTCACCTTCCAGAGAATTAATGGCTGATTCAGCAGACGAGGCATCCATGGCTTTGTTTTGAGAAGCAATAGAGTCATTGGCATCGGGGGTGTTAATTTCCTGTGCCTAAAAAAAAAAAAACGAAAGTTAGCCTCCATGTACAGTAGGTCACTTGGCAAAAATCTTGATTATCTCCGAGTACCAAAAAAATTTTCAAAACGAGGCTATAAGTCCTAATCCTTTCTGGCGAGGTTCATTGGCATGAGAATAAGAAATCATTTTCCTATCAGTGGCTTTGTACTTAGCCTCGCTTTGACACCGAGGCTTTGGGTTACCCAGAAATGACCTGTTCTCTCTTAGGGGCCCCTCGCTTTGTAAGACCATTCGAGTAGAATGTAAGGGAAAAGACGCTTTGATGCTATACCACATTGCACGCAGGAAGCGACTATATATTTTTTAACTTCGTTAGTTGTCCTTTTAGAAGCGACGCGACATTAAAAGGCAGCGCGCAGCGCTTGCGAACCATAAAGTAAAACCATCTTCGGTCTAGATTAACGTTTGCTAACAGTTACGTGATATAAAGCGTGTATTTGAAGACACCTTTCTTCATGGAAGCACAGAACGCATACGCAGTAAGAAAAAGAGGTATACGTTCCTTATGGTACGGTCCCATATAGTTGAAAACAATGCGTCTCCTTGGGTTTATTACTTACCACTGCTCCGGGTCCAACGATAGAAAGAAGAACAGGTAGGAAAAGGAGGCCATTAAATGTACCAATCAAAATAAGGGCCACGAGGAGGTTAAAGAAATACCTGAAAAGGAGAAAAATTATGCGACATCACCATTGAAGTTTGACAAGAAAACAATGTCGGATCCCAGCCTCGTACCTAGGCCAGTTCGCGCTATCCGAGTTACCAGAGGAGGCTTGGAACCGAGTGCGATAGCGAACTTTCCCAAGCTTGACAGGTGACGTCACATCCGAAATCGCCGACGACGACTGGGAACGAGGCTGGTTGGATCCTAATTATTACAATTAATTATTACAAAATTATGCTTGCGTTTGACCAAAAACTGCTCAGTTCAGAAGCTTCATCTGAACACCTTGGAAAGTGTTTCTTTATAACTATGTTGAGTTACCTTGAGGATAGATTATTTAAAAAGACTCGTTTATTTCTGCCCACATTTTGAGGGGAGGGGGAGTTGTTGCATATCTGCTGGTACATTCCTTCCCGAGTTTGATATAAGTATAATCTCTTGCGGTGTTTGGATATTGGCTAGGTTCTCCTGAAACACTCTCGCGTTAGTTATATGACTTGTAGGTGTTTGGATCTAAGATAAAATACTGCTCGCGTTTGATGTAATACTTCTCAGTGATTGTATATCAGATGAAACACTCCACCTCGTGTTTGATATATTTTTTCTAAGTGTTTGGAAACATCGCATGAAACACTCCTCCTCGTGTTTGAGATAATACTTGACAAAAATCATACAACAAAACCGACGTAACAGACCTAAGATGGCCACAGAGGCAACGCCATGGTTTTTTGGCGTCGCCGGCACAGTTAAAATTTAAATTCGGCAAATTTAATCTGGTAAACAAATTCTGCGATAATTTTCATGATAAGGCCGCGTCAGATTATCGCTGAAGAACTTTCTTACCTGACTATAAACTGAAAGGGGGAACCTGCCAGCATCACCACGCCCAGAAAAGTGGAAATAGCACCATCCACGATGGGTACAAACACGTGTTCAATGGCCTTCTGCATTCTTTCGTTTCTGTTTCCAAGCGTGTGTAGGAAGGCCTGAAAATGGTCAGGGATGGAGGTCATTGAAGGAAAAATTAAAAATAAATTTTGTTTTCGAGAAATTCGCGAAAGAAACGGTCAAAAAGAAAAAACTGATTACGGGATTTAAAGTGGATGGGGTGTCACTGAGTAATGAAAACCAAGATCATTTGACTGGAGGACACTAGGCGCAGCCCCGTCCCCGGGCCCGTACGCACCGAGCGGAGGAGGCTTGGAACCGAGCGCGATTACGCGAATTCTCCTGACAAGCTTGATAGGTGACGACTGAGAACGAGGCTGCACAAGGTGACATGTCGCTGCAACGCGTCGAGGCGACAAATCCCGTCTTGTGTACAGGTCGGGCGACAAGTTGCGCGACACGTCGCAGCGACAAAATAAATCGCTTCGTATAAAAATCTTTGCCTCTGCAAAGGAATTTTGTCGCCGCAACGCGTCGCAAAAATTGAATCTAAATTGATTTTGCTACTAAGCAGTACTTTCCTATTGCGGTATTTATTCAAGATGCTGTGCGAGGTTTTATCTTTTAGACTAAAGGACCTTTGGGCAGCCTTTGAAATTAAAATCCATTGAAAACAGTCAAACCTTAATCTGACAATTTTAAAGGACTTACNGTGTTTGGATATTGGCTAAGTTCTCCTGAAACACTCTCGCGTTAGTTATATGACTTGTAGGTGTTTGGATCTAAGATAAAATACTGCTCGCGTTTGATGTAATACTTCTCAGTGATTGTATATCAGATGAAACACTCCACCTCGTGTTTGACATGTTTTTTCTAAGCTTTGGAAAAATCGCATGAAACACTCCTCCTCGTATTTGAGATAATACTTGACAAAAATCATACAACAAAACCGACGTAAGAGACCTAAGATGGCCACAGAGGCAACGCCATGGTTTTTTGGTGTCGCCGGCACAGTTAAAATTTAAATTCGGCAAATTTAATCTGGTAAACAAATTCTGCGATAATTTTCATGATAAGGCCGCGTCAGATTATCGCTGAAGAACTTTCTTACCTGACTATAAACTGAAAAGGGGAACCTGCCAGCATCACCACGCCCAGAAAAGTGGAAATAGCACCATCCACGATGGGTACAAACACGTGTTCAATGGCCTTCTGCATTCTTTCGTTTCTGTTTCCAAGCGTGTGTAGGAAGGCCTGAAAATGGTCAGGGATGAAGGTTATTGAAGGAAAAATTAAAAATAAATTTTGTTTTCGAGAAATTCGCGAAAGAAACAGTCAAAAAGAAAAAACTGATTACGGGATTTAAAGTGGATGGGGTGTCACTGAGTAATGAAAACCAAGATCATTAGACTGGAGGACACTAGGCGCAACCTCGTCCCCGGGCCCGTACGCACCGAGCGGAGGAGGCTTGGAACCGAGCGCGATTACGCGAATTCTCCTGACAAGCTTGATAGGTGACGACTGGGAGCGAGGCTGCACAAGGTGACATATCGCTGCAAAATCACGTCTTGTGTACAGGTCGGGCGACAAGTTGCGCGACACGTCGCAGCGACAAAATAAATCGCTTCGTATAAAAATCTTTGCCTCTACAAAGGAATTTTGTCGCCGCAACGCAAAAATTGAATCTAAATTGATTTTGCAACTAAGCAGTACTTTCCTATTGCGCTATTTATTCAAGATGCTGTGCGAGGTTTTATCTTTTAGACTAAAGGACCTTTGGGCAGCCTTTGAAATTAAAATCCATTGAAAACAGTCAAACCTTAATCTGACAATTTTAAAGGACTTACCAAGCACATATGAACAGTAAATTCTACACCCACTCCAACCGAAAGAATGAGTGTAACCGCTGGTACAGCACTAAGGTTGATCCCAGCCAAACCCATAAAGCCATACATCTCTACTGTGATCATCAACAGAACGAGAGTTATAAGCGCCGCTGCCCAGATGTTGAACAGCATTACCGCCATAACTACAAAGCTGACAGCCAGAGCAATGGAAATGGCGATATAGATTTGCCTCCTTAGCCAGATGTACTGCTCCCAGAATGTGAACGGAACACCACTAGGATAGTTTGGAAGGCCATCGGCTGAGAATCTGTCGCAAATTTCTCGAACATTCTGCAGAAAAACATTACACAGTTATTTTGGAAAGTGTTAAAACAAACACCATGCACATTTCCCTGTTGCATCTTAGCTCCAAGTTCTCTTTACTGTTGAGTTCTCAATATCGGTGAAAAAAGCGTTCGACGTAGTAGAACGCAGTTCTATTACAAACTGAAGCGAGGCAGTATTGGACAACCCCAGTTGATTAAACCATTTTTATGAGGTTTATCTGGCATCCCTGCAGATTTTTCAAGGGATGAATGGCACCATAATCAATAGAGAGAGAATTAGGACAGTCTGGGATAGAAGGCACTTCACTTTTCTTGGTTAAGGTCATTTATGTGCCTTTAATGAGTTTGCGCTAACTTATCATGAAGTTATCTTCGTTTAATGGAAAAATATTTGAGTCCTTAGATAAACAGTACCTTGATCAGTGCCACAAAGTCCTTGGTTTCCTTGAGGCCAATCACATTAAAGTTGATCTTAGCGAATGTGATTGGTTTCGCAGTCGGAACTGAAATAACAGTAAGACAGGGGAAAAGTTTAAACAAAAGGTCTCCTCCAAAGGGAAGAGTAGTAAAATGGTGGAACAGTTGGTGGGGGGTGGGCGGAGTAATCCCAGCCTCGTTCCTAAGGTTTCTACTCTTTCCTTTTCCTAAGGAAAGACGCAAGAAAAGAGGATGAAGCTTGCCTAGTCCTTAGGCCTCATTATTCCGCGCGTCCAGTTCGTTTCGGACCACGTGGTCCAAGCGAAAAAGGGAGGCGTTTCCCGCCCGTTCGCCTCGGATACGTCACCGAAGTAAATTGGACGAGAAGGCATGGAAAAAACGCCGTGCAAGGACTAGGTAAGGTTGAAGCGACAGTCAGTTGAGGCTTATCAAGGAGACATTCTCGTCTCCCATAGCTTCTCGTCGCTATGAGCCGGCTGGGGCCTTCTCGTCACTGGTGCACGATGTACACACTCTTGCATATACTAATTTTAATCACCTTGTATCGCGGCATAATCTTGAGGAGACCTTACGTTAGACCAGTCAACGGTTTCTGGTTTAATGTTAGCCTACAACAATAACAATAATACAGAGCTTGTTAATTAGCTTTTGCCATCGAGAAATTTTACAGAGCGATCAATGTGAATGGTACAGACAGAAATAGTGACTTGAAAAAGTTACATTCAACAAACCTGTGAAAATGCATATCCCAACACATCCCTGTCCACCCAAAGAGTTAGAGCTTTGTAAAATATTTCAGGCCGAATAACTCCATCATCACTTACTAGTGTATAATTTCGAACCTGTGAAATAATAAGATAATAAGTGAGAGCAATTGGACCATTATCTTGGATAGTAGGGAGAATTTTGTCTTTCGTTAATCTTGGTTTGCGGTTTGTAATTGTGCAGGTCACAGAGTGCCAAGACATTATTAATGCATACGATTTTCTTCTCTGCGACTCTGAAAATTCTTTCATCATTACCTTTCGATAATCAGAAATCGTTTTTTAAAAGTAAGCAAATATAAGCTGCCATGATGCTAAACGCGCTTGGAAGCCTACAGGGTCTGCCTGTGCAAAATGGGCTGGCCTGCCTCCTCTAATGAACACAGTGATATTTTTGTAGTGGAAATAGCGTTAAGGTGAGATGAAAGAAATCAAGCAAGCCAAGCTAAATCATGTGCGTTCCGTTAATTTCACTCAATCTGAGAACAATTCTGTCAACTCAGGCGCTCGGAGCTTAAATAAAACCCATTATATGAAAAAGTGTTAAAAGCTCAGCCAAAAGAACTAGAGACCATACCAGTCCAGCGTATTGTATGGACCATTCTCAGAAAGAGCGCTTGCAGAATTTCTTCGATTGTGTTTATTTTTATGTCGACACTGACGAGAAGGAAACACTATTGGCCTTGTGAAGAAAATACTTTTCTTACTGTCATATTAACAGATTACCTTTGATCTATCGATTTCATCTCCGTTTCCAGTCTGAGAGAGCAGTTTAAACGCGATGACCCCGTTGTCTGTAGCATTTTCTTTCCAGCCAGAGTATGTTATGGTCTTATTAGCCCATTCTTGATTGAACGCTGTTTGAATATCTAGGAGATAACATCACATTTATTAGAGATCTGAAAGAAACATAAGGTTATGTTGTTCAAGGAAACTGAATCTTTCCAGATTAAATGACTGGGATGGAGAGAGCTCTCATTTTCTCCCTAATCTCTCCCCCGAGAGCTCGCTAGCAGGCTAACTGAACGTCATTGTCAAAATGTACTCGCCAGGATCTCACTGTTACTACGTATTATTGGAACTTACTGTTAAAGACCGAAACTGTTTCGCAAGTTCGTGGATGGAAGTAGGTTGCCTATGGCGCTCCTGACGATTTGCAGATTTTCGGCCAGCGTGAAAATCAGCCCGGTATGCGGAGCAGTTGCATTTTTTTAAGTCCAATAAAGCTCCTTACCTCGCAGCCAATCTCTAAAGTACATCATCCAAAATTTAGGAATTTCTTCTGAGTCAGGAATTCTGATTATATTGGGAATCTATGACACAAAGAAGCACAAGACGCAATTTAGTACCTAGTTGTAACTCAAAGCAAATACGAGATGTTCCTTTAACTACTGACAAAGGATATCTGTTTTGGGTCTAGAGCAACTACCTAAAATGTTTGCCTTGTTTTCGGAATACTTCTCAGACTGTCAGATAATATAAAAAGGCGAATAATCTCAAACTAAGGCAAGGAGTCGGGTTTAGAAGTATAGGGCCAAATTAAACCCCTGTTAATCTTTATTTTACCTCATTGTCACTTTTAACCATCAAAAATGTCTATTAGAGATAGCCTGTCTACAGCTGTCCCAGTCGCAGGCAAAAAATAAATCAGGAGGGGAGGGAGGGGCCGTGCGCACGCTACTCATAGGACAGATAGGGTCTTCTATAGCCCCTCCCCCCTATAAAATGTGGATCTTCCCCTAGTTATTCATCCCTTCCCCCTAAACGAGGCAGCCCGTCCTTGGTTATTCTACACTATATCTATAGTACTATTGTTCGCATGCTCTACATACTAAGGTTAAAAAACTGCCTTCAACAAGATAAATGTAAATGAAGTGATAACTAACCTCTTTGAAAGCTTCATGATAAGAGTAGAGAGTCTTCTGTCGATTAGCATAGTCAAATCCTTCTTGAGTAATGAGCGACATCGGATAAAACGAGAAGTACTTAAACTGTGCTTCTACAAATTGATGGGCGACACTGCCTTGAGGTACTACTTCAGTGAGCTCTAAACCGTCTTCGACTTGAAACGAGCCGTAAATTCCAACAGCGAGCAGACCAGCAAAAAGAATCAACACAGCAACCTTGAAAGGAGTAACAGAAAACAATTGTGAAAACAAAAGGCGGCCTTACAAGAGGTTGATTTGAAATTTTCTAACTTCTTTTAAGGGTCAGGGAGAATAAACTTCCCTACGTAAAGATAGCAAGATGCAAACACACTCAAACCAACCAGAATCCATGATATTTTGGCGACAGATTTGTGCAATGTTCTTACGACTCCGCATTCAAAACATCTTGTATTTTGATTGGTTCGACAATGTATGATTGTCAAAAGCTTTGTCAAGAGGCGGGGGAGGGGGGGAATGCGATCTGCATTGTAAGTTTAAAAAAACAAGGCGTCAATCAGAGAGGGCTTGCACAAAAGGGAAAGCAAAATATGGTAATATATCAGCGACAAGCAAACCAAAAATCAATGGTTTGCCGAGGCCGAAAACAGAGGCAATCAGTGGTTTGCGAAAACGATCGTTTTGTTTTATTTTGTTTCGTTTTACTTATTGAGGGTATAAAGAGTCCCCATTGTCTCTGGAAGACAGGAATCCAAATGCGCATGGCCAGAGGATTTACAGAACGCAGCAAAATAAATTTTCTCTACTGCGAAAGAGCAGACCATTGTCCGTAAGCAGTTATGTGCAATTACGTACGTAATCGTCTCAAGACCAATCAAAACTCTGGAAAAATAACCAGAATGATAACATTTATTAAGGTGAAATCAGTTTTTAGAAAGTCACGCTATTTTTAGACTAGGTTCGATTTCCGCCACTCTTTCGGGGAAAAGGAGCATGGACTCATTTCTTAACTGCAGCTGGTAATCGAGCCTTAAAAAGACTAGCCCAAGATAATACTGTTACCCAGTCTAGTCCCCAGGCATTCTCTCTGGACCCATTGTCTGCGCGAAGTCTGAGAAAGAGTGGGCGAGTCTCTCTCGGTGACGTCACAACTCACGGTGTTGAGTCCAGGATTGACCGAGCAGAGAACGGTTAGGGACTAGCCTGACTGTTACCAAGAAGTGCATACTGCACAAAATAATGGACTTATTTACCTTGACTGGATTCTCCTGCAGGAATGGTCCATAATACGTAGTGGCAAAGTACTCCAGAAGTAAGAAGCGACCACAACGCGCAGCACTACTTTTTCCGCTGTTACCTTTGTTTCTTGTTGTTACCGGATGAGGCATCTCCATTGCTGTAGAATTCACGTGATTTCCTGTGTTGTAAGTGATTTCAGTTTAAATATTAAAAATTTTTGCTTAAAAAACCGACAGTTTGGCAAAGCACGCGCACGAGGAGCGAGAATCGAGAGTAAAGTGTAACTCAGTTGAGGGCGTCCTTTTCCTTTCCCCGCCCTCGTACGAATCACACTCGCCGCTCGATCGGTACAAATTCAGTTCTTCGTGTTCTCGCGAAGGCAACGTGGCCGATCGGTTAGAGTGCTGGACTTGCAGTTCCGAGGCCCCGAGGCCCACGCGGACCGCAAACTGATTTATTCTCGGTATTCCGAGTTCAAATCCTTGACCACGCTTGTCAAAAACCAACTGGTTTGCCTCCGGCCAGTTGGGATTCTTAACCCTATTATGTTTGATTCAAAATATTTGTTTCAGGCATTTGCTCGGCCCCACTGGTATTAGTGCTATAATCACTGCAGAGGGTGATTAACGGAAATAAATAAAGGCACCTAATCAAGTACAAAAAGCGCTGCAATCTTTCAGGGCCCAAGTGTTCAAAAAGTGGATAACACTATCCACTGGGGAAATCTCTTTCTAGTGGATAAAGCAATTAATTTCCCCAATACTTCTCCGCTGGATATGATTTATGCGCTGGAGAGCGCTATACAACGCTTGAAAAAACTGGGTTCCCCTTTAATCTCGGATGGGTGCAGTCACCAAATGACGTAATACAAAAGATTACCCAGATCTCCAACGGCCAAGGGAAAGAGAGATCTCACTTTTCAGCGCAAGAAAGAGTGAGATCTGGGTACAAAACAATGGCTACTCATAGTTTCCGCAACATCAAACACCACCCGAAAAGCGAGGCTGGATTCGTAGATGTTCGGGGATACTCTTGACAAACCCATAAATCCTCGGAGATGTTCGGAAAAGACGATTGTCAATATTTGGAAATTTCCAAACAAAACAACATCAACATTTTTTTTACCTGTCACACTCGCTTCACTGCCATAAGAATTCTTCGACTGTTTCTCTCCATTACTCGCGTACTCATTGAATAAAACTTCGGCGATAGACGAATCGGATTTGTCCTTCGCAGGCACAGTCATCACCATGGTTTGGGTAGGTTGCGGGGTGACAGGATTAGCCGAGAGTTCTGTTCTACTATTCACACTGTGTACTCCGTTAGTTGAACAGCATTACCGCCATAACTACAAAGCTGACAGCCAGAGCAATGGAAATGGCGATATAGATTTGCCTCCTTAGCCAGATGTACTGCTCCCAGAATGTGAACGGAACACCACTAGGATAGTTTGGAAGGTCATCGGCTGAGAATCTGTCGCAGATTTCTCGAACATTCTGCAGGAGTTTAAAGAACATTGCACAATTATTTTGGAAAGTGTTAAGACAAACACGTACCATGCGCATTTCCCAAATTTTACTTTACTGTTGAGTTTTTAATATCGGCGATAAGTGCGTTCGGCAAAAGTAACGTAAAAGTAGAACGCAGTTTTAATACAGATTGAAGCGAGATTGTATGGCACAACCCTTGTAGATTAAACGTATCATGTGAAGTTTATCTGGCATCCCTGCAGATTTTTTAAGGGGTGAATTGCACCATAACCAATAGAGAGAGAACTTAGAGAGTCTGGGATAGAAAGCACTTCACTTTTCTTGGTTAAGATCATTTATGTGCCTTTAATGAGTTTGCGCTAACTTATCATGAAGTTATCTTCGTTTAATGGAAATACATTTGAGTCCTTAGATAAACAGTACCTTGATCAGTGCCACAAAGTCCTTGGTTTCCTTGAGGCCAATCACATTAAAGTTGATCTTAGCGAATGTGATTGGTTTCGCAGTCGGAACTGAAATAAAAGAAGGACAGGGGAAAAGTTTAAACAAAATGTCTCCTCCATAGGGAAGAGCAGTGAATTAGTGGAACAGTTGGTGGGGGGTGGGGTGGGGGTGAAGTAATCGCAGCCTGGTTCCTAAGATGGCTGTTCTCTCCTTTTTCTAAGGAAAGACGCAAGAAAAGAGGTTGAAGCTTGCCTAGTCCCTAGGCCTCATCATTCTGCGCGGCCAATTCGTTTCGGGTCACGTGGTCCAAGCGAAGAAGTGAGGCGTTTCCCGCCCGTTCGCCTCGGATACGTCACCGAACTGAATTGACCGAGAAGGCCTGGGAAAACGCCGTGCAAGGACCAGGTAAGGTTGAAGCGACAGTCAGTTGAGGCTTCTCGAGGATTCATTCTCGTCGTCCAGAGCTTCTCGTCGCTATGAGCCGGCGGGCGCCTTTGCGTCACTGGTGCGCGATAGACGCATTCTGGCATATACTAATTTTAATCACCTTGCATCGCGGCATCATCTTGAGGAGACCGCACGTTAGACCAATCAACGGTTTCTGGCTTAATGCTAGCCTACAACAATAACAATAATACAGAGCTTGTTAATTAGCTTTTGCCATCGAGAAATTTTACAGAGCGACCAATGTGAATGTTACAGACAGAAACAGTGTCTTGAAAAAGTTACATTCAACAAACCTGTGAAAATGCGTATCCCAACACATCCCTGTCCACCCAAAGAGTAAGAGCCTTGTAAAATATTTCAGGCCGAATTACTCCATCATCACTTACTAGTGTATAATTTCGAACCTGTGAAATAATAAGACAGGAATTCGAGTTTTAGGCCCTCTCAAGTGAGAACGATGGGACCATTATCTTGGATAGTAGGGAGAATTTTGTCTTTCGTTCATCTTGGTTAGCGGATTGAAATTCTGCACGTCACAGAGTGCCAAGACATTATTACAATGTAATGCATACAATTTTCTTTTCTTCATCATTACCTTTCGATAGTCAGAAATTGGTTTCTAAAAATAAGGCAAATAATATAAACCGCCATGATGCTAAACGCGCTCGGAAGCATACAGGGTCCGCCTAGGCAAAATGGGCTAGCCTGCCTCCTCTAACGAACACAGTGAAATTTTTGCTAGTGGAAACAGCGTTAAGGTGAGATGAAAAAAATAAAGCAAGCCAAGCTAAATCATGTGCGTTCCGTTAATTTCACTCAGTCTGAGAACAATTTTGTCAACTCAGGCGCTCGGAGCTTAAATAAAATCCATTATATAAAAAAGGGGTTAAAAGCTCAGCCAAAAGAACTAGAGACTATACCAGTCAAGCGGATTGTATGGACCATTTTCAGAAAGAGCGCTTGCAGAATTTCTTCGATTGTGTTTATTTTTATGTTGACACTGACGAAAAGGAAACACTATTGGCCTTGTGAAGAAAATATTTTTCTTACTGTCATACTGTCGTACAGATTACCTTTGATCTATCGATTTCATCTCCGTTTCCAGTCTGAGAGAGCAGTTTAAACGCGATGACTCCGTTGTCTGTAGCATTTTCTTTCCAGCCAGAATATGTTATGGTCTTATTAGCCCATTCTTGATTGAACGCTGTTTGAATATCTAGAAAATAAAATCACATTTATTAGAGATCTAAAAGAAACATAAGGTTATGTTGTTCAAGGAAACTGAATCTTTGCAGATTAAATGACTGGGATGGAGAGAGCTCTCATTTTCTCCCTAATCTCTCCCCCGAGAGCTCGCTAGCAGGCTAACTGAACTTCATTGTCAAAATGTACTCGCCAGGATCTCACTGTTACTACGTATTATTGGAACTTACTGTTAAAGACCGAAACTGTTTCGCAAGTTCGTGGATGGAAGTAGGTTGCGTATGGCGCTCCTGACGATTTGCAGATTTTCGGCCAGCGTGAAAAACAGCCCGGTACGCGGAGCAGTTACATTTTTTAAAGTCCAATAAAGCTCCTTACCTCGCAACCAATCTCTAAAGTACATCATCCAAAATTTGGGAATTTCTTCTGAGTCAGGAATTCTGATTATATTGGGAATCTATGACACAAAGAAACACAAGACGCAATTTAGCACCTATAGTTGCAACTCAAAGCAAATGCGAGATGTTACTTTAACTATTGACAAAGGATACACCTAATTGCAATAACGTTGTCATAGAAAAAAGCAAAAAGCAAAAAGCAAAAAGCAGAAAACCAAATAGGAATTAATTAGACATGTGATTTACATTTGCGTATTTTAATAATTTAACAATTATTTAAGAAGTCATTCACAATAACAAGAAATAATTCTGTAATTCCGCGCTGTAAGATTTCGCACATGAAACACTGATGTGTGTAACAAAAGGGTCCTGACAAACGAGGCTTGGTTTGTGGCGCGGGAGAGGAACTGGCGGAGGAACGCCTCACCCTCTCCGCGATGGAAAGTCCTGCCTACACCCCTGATTTGTTGCTTGAAAATTGTGATCTGATAGTGTTGTGCACAACAAACCATACGCAGACTGGCTTTTCTATTTAGCATTAAACGAAGAGACGCATCGCGTTCCTGGAATTTACCCCAGGCTATATTTATTGAAAAACAATGGAGCCATTTTTTCTTCAGTAGTTGTACGTTTGTAATTAGAGCACCTTTGAAATCCGCTAGATGAATCAGCCTCGAATTGCATTCGAATGACACCAAGAAACTGATGCAAATGATTTGGCTTTCATATTACGTGATTAATATTCAGCTATAAGCGTGTGTGTTGTGAATGTTGCAAGCAATGATAATTTAATGCTAATTAATTCCTATTTGGCTTTTTGCTTTTTTCAATGACAACCTTATTGCAATTAGGTGTATCTGTTTTGGGTCATAGAGCAACTACCTAAAATGTTTGCCTTGTTTTCGGAATACTTCTCAGACTGTCAGATAATATAAAAAGGCGAATGATCTCAGATTAAGGCAAGGAGACGGCTTTAGAAGTATAAGGCCAAATCTAACCCCTGTTGATCTTTATTTTACCTCGTTGTCACTTTTAACCATCAAAAATGTCTATTAGAGATAGCCTGTCTACAGCTGCCCCAGTGGCACGCAAAAAATAAATCAGGAGGGGAGGGAGGGGCCGTGCGCACGCCACTCATAGGACAGATAGGGTCTTCTATAGCCCCTCCCCCCTATAAAATGTGGATCTTCCCCAAGTTATTCATCCCTACCCCGTAAACGAGGCAGCCCGTCCTTGGTTATTCTGCACTATATCTATAATACTATTTTTCGCATGCTCTACACACTAAGGTTAAAAAATTGCCTTCACAAGAAAAATGTAAATGAAGTGATAAGTAACCTTTTTGAAAGCTTCATGATAAGAGTAGAGAGTCTTCTGTCGATTAGCGTAGTCAAATCCTTCTTGAGTAATGAGCGACATCGGATAAAATGAGAAGTACTTAAACTGCGCTTCTACAAATTGATGGGCGACACTGCCTTGAGGTACTACTTCAGTGAGCTCTAAACCGTCTTCAACTTGAAACGAGCCGTAAATTCCAACAGCGAGCAGACCAACAAAAAGAATCAACACAGCAACCTTGAAAGGAGTAACAGAAAACAATTGTGAAAACAAAAGGCGGCGTTACAAGAAGTTGATTTTTTCTAACTTCTTTTAAGGGTCAGGGAGAATAAACTTCCCTACGTGAAGATAGCAAGATGCAAACACACTCAAACCAACCAGAATCCATGATATTTTGGCGACAGATTTGTGCAATTTTCGTACGACTCCGTATTCAAAACATCTTGTATTTTGATTGGTTCGACAATGTAGGATTGTCAAAAGCTTTGTCAAGAGACGGGGGCGGGTGTAGTGCAATCTGTAGTGTAAGTATAAAAAAACAAGGTGGAATCAGAGAAGGCTTTCACAAAAGGGAAAGCAAAATATCGTAATATATCAGCGACAAGCAGATCAATGGTTTGCCGAGGCCGAAAACAGAGGCAATCGGTGGTCTGCGAAAACGAGGGTATGAAGAGTCGCCATTGTCTCTGGAAGACAGGAATCCAAATGCGCAAGGTCAGAGGATTGACTGAACGCAGCTAAATAAATGTTCTCTACGGCGCAAAGCAGACCATTGTCCGTAAGCAGTTATGTGCAATTACGTACGTTATCGTCTCAAGACCAATCAAAACTCTGGAAAAATAACCAGAATGATAAAATTTATTAAGGTGAAATTAGTTTTTAGAGAGTCACGCTCTTTAGACTAGGTTCGACTTCGCCACTCTTTTGGGGATGAGAAAAAAAGGAGCGTGGACTCATTTCTCGAACAGCGGCTGGTAATCGACCTTTACAAGACTAGCCCAAGATAATAATGTTACCCAGCCTAGTCCCCAGGTATTCTCTCTTGACCCATTGTCCGCGCGAAGTCTGGGAAAGAGCGGGCGAATCTCTCTCGGTGACGTCACAGCTCCGCGTGTAGAATCCAGGATTGATCGAGCAGAGAACGATTAGGGACTAGGCTGACTGTTACCAAGAAGTGTATAATGCACAAAATAATGGACTTATTTACCTTGACTGGATTCTCCCGCAGGAATGGTCCGTAATAAGTAGTGGCAAAGTACTCCAGAAGTAAGAAGCGACCACAACGCGCAGCACTACTTTTTCCGCTGTTACCGTTGTTTCTTCTTGTTACCGGATGAGGCATCTCCATTGCTGTAGAATTCACGTGATTTCCTGTGTTGCAAGGGATTTCAGTTTAAATATTAAAAATTCTTGCTTAAAAAACCGACAGTTTGGGGAAGCACGAGCACGAGGAGCGAGAATCCGTGAGAGTAAAGTGTAACTCAGTTGAGGGCGTCCTTTTCTTTTCCCCACCCTCGTAAGAATCACACTCGCCGCTCGATCGGTACAAATTCAATTGTTCGTGTTCGCGCGGAGGCTGCGTTGGCGAGCGGTTAGAGTGCTGGACTTGCAGTTCCGAGGCCCCGAGGCCCACGCTAAGCGCCAACTAATTTGTTCTCGGTATTCCGAGTTCAAATCCTCGACCACGCTTGTCAAAAGCCAACTGGTTTGCTTCCGGCCAGTTGGGATTTTTAACCCTATTATGTTTGATTTAAAATATTTGTTTCAGGCATTCGCTCGGCCCAACTAGCATTAGTGCTATAATCGCTGCCGAGAGTGAATAACGGAAATAAGTAAAGGCACCTAATCAAGTATGACAAAAAGACTAAGTGTTGAAAAGGTGGATAACACTATCCACTGGATAAATCTCTTTCTAGTAAATAAAGCAATTAATTTCCCCAATACTTCTCCGCTGGATGTGATATATGCGGTGGACAGCGCTATACAACGCTTGAAAAAAACTGGGGTGTCCTTTAATCTCGGATGGGTGCAGTCACCAAATGACGTAATACAAAAGATTACCCAGATCTCCGACGGCCAATGGAAAGAGAAATCTCACTTGTCAGCGTAAGACAGAGTGAGATCTGGGTACAAAACAATAGCTACCCATAGTTTCCGCAACATCAAACACCACCCGAAAAGCGAGGCTGGATTCGTAGATGTTCGGGGATACTCTTGACAAAGCCATAAATCCTCGGAGATGTTCGGAAAAGACGATTGTCAATATTTGGAAATTTCCAAACAAAACAACATCAACATTTTTTTTACCTGTCACACTCGCTTCACTGCCATAAGAATTCTTCGAATGTTTCTCTCCATTACTCGCGTACTCATTGACTAAAACTTCGGCGATAGACGAATCGGATTTGTCCTTCGCAGGCACAGTCATCACCATGGTTTGGGTAGGTTGCGGGGTGACAGGATTAGCCGAGAGTTCTGTTCTACTATTCACACTGTGTACTCCGTTAGTCGTCGCTATCTCGTCTCCCGTTATTACGTCTACGCTAACTTTTTCTTGTTGTGGCCTGTAAGCAAGAAATATTTCTTGTTTTAATACAAGTGGTTGTAAAAACAAAACCAAAGTCTAAATCACTACCAACACAAATACATCAAATCATCCAGGCTGTCCTCACTGGGCAAAGCCCGAGAACTTTGGGCGCTGATGAGCCCCTTAAAGAAGCGGTATCACGAATTTTATCAAAGTTCTACCACTAGGAACTGCCAACAAATTACGTGAAATATAGAAATAACCGCTCAAAACGTTAAACGACGGTGCAAATAACACTGTAAATCCAAAATAGGGCACGGATGGAAAAACTTGAAGAACATTGAAACGGATTGAAATTGTAGATTAATGAAAACTTGTTATCTTAATAAGAAATTTTCAAAGTTCGTTTTTTTTTTCGTAACGATTGTATTTGTTGGACGAAAAGCTGTGATTTTGTCGTTTAGAAGTAATTTCTTCAGTAACGTTAAATTCCATAGCGCATAAGGGAGATTGATTCGCAAAATTATCGAAAAACTCTACAGCCGTGACAAAACCAATTTAAAGTGTCTTATCAATTTTGTTACCTATTGCAATGTACCACCGAAACGTATTAGGGCTTGTTTACATAGAGTTGGCGGACCCCAGGTAGGCGAGGTAACACGTAACCAGCCTGTCCATATAATGTCTCATATGGCCATTCCCCCAATCATGTAAACGCGACTTAATTAATATTAGGTATTGTATGGACAGGCGGGTTACCCCGCCTAAGCTGGTTACCTCACCTACCTGGGGTCCCCCACCTCCATGTAAACAGGCCCTTATTTAGCAAATCGACTTAACTGCAGTGGCGAGACGCGGACAAAAGGAACGCAAGAGAAGTTCGATAACATAAACTCACTGTTTTTGGCAGCAGATAATGTCCCATCTTTGAGCTTTTCTTCTTCTTATGTCCAGACTGATCAAAGCGGGAAAAATGATGATGACTCCAATAAAATTGAATATAACAACAACACCGGCCTATCAATGAAGATCAGAATATTGTTATAAGGAGCAGTTAAGAATCATCAAATTACTAATGTTTTCGCTTTTAACCCAACAAAAATGTTTCTAAAAGTTTAAGCGTTGCACAACTGAGGAGCAAGTATACATAATTCTATGTCCTCGACCATAATGCTCACAGTAAAGCGGAAGTTTCATGTCGTAGTTGTGCACCGATGGCAAAGAAATGTACAAAATAGCCTAATGCACCTGCAAAGTTGTTGTTTGTTTATATAAACATATTATTTTTTGCCGTTCTCCTTGCCGTCGCCGTCGCCGTCGCCGTCGCCGTTGGTTTTGCAGTCATCCAGAAATAGTGCTACCATGGTAACGTGACGTCACACTTCTCCTCTCTATAGAGTTGGGCCAGCCGCTTTTCTTGAAAAGAGCCCGCGCTTCCCGCCCGCGAATACACATGCAAAGTCGTGTTTGTCTTTGCTATTGTTATTGTTATTTTTTAGATAATTGAGCATTTTAAGTTGATTTACCTGTATTGCAAAATGTCTAAGAGCTGGTATGCGAATAAACGCTGCCATAAAGAATGCCAACATGTTGTTGAACGATGTGAGAAAAACGCTAACTCCGATGGTGCCCAGACAGTAGCCTACTTCGTCCTGTAAAGTTAATACAAACGCGGCAGCATTAGCTCAGTCAGGAGAGCGCTGGACCGCATTGCCATGCACAGGTCGTGGGTCCGATCTCCCCCGGCAGGGCCCGGATCAGTACTCCGTGTTTTTTCCTCCGTGAAAGAAGTTGTTGCCTCTGTCCTAGATACACCTCCGCGCGGCGATTGAACATCAGTGGCGGATTCAGGGGAGGGGCCCGGGGCCTCCCTTATCTCAGGCACTGGATGATCGCCTCCCCCCCCCTCCCCCCACCTTCCCCTTATCTGAAGGTCTGGACACGGCACGGAACATGACTACGTGTGTAGAAATAGCGGGTCCCCTCTCCAATTGGAGACGTAAAAATGATGTCCTCAGTTAGTAAATTGACACTCTAGTAAAGAGGTTATTTTTTAGTGACAAAAGACTAAAATAGGTAACTTTACTTTTACATTCAGGAGATTGTATTTGCTTCCTTTAATCTGAAATACTTTTAGAGGGGTGAAGCATTTAGGAGCTTCTTAAGGAAGGGAAAAAGAACAAATTTTGGCTTTATCAAGCCACTTATTAGCTTCGAACTTAGTTTCAATTCTTAATATGAATACTCACCTTACTGCGAATTTCTCCCCTGTGTGTTAGAGTGGAATAAGAATGGGCAAGCAAAAACATATCGTCCACGCCCAGTCCCAGAGCTAAAAATGGTAACACCTAAAAGGAATAAAAAGATAACAACGTGTCTCAGAGATAAACTGCATCGTTTGTCCACTGCCAAAAGAGTGCTGCGTAATATTCCAGTTTACTAATTACTCCAAATTACGTTTACCTGCGTTGAAGCTGCATTAAAGGTTATGCCACATAAGGCACAGAATCCTAACCCAGCAGCGACCGACAGCGTGACGAGGAGAACTCCTGCGAGTCCCAGGGCACCATGGGAATGGATTGGGTCACACCAACGTTTCAGAGTGATGCATGCGTATATGAGCTAAGGAAAAATATAGACGATTTGAGTTAGCCCGTTTTTAAATAGTCTCACACGCCCGACACGTTTCCCCAAGTATATGCGCTCTTGCCGTCGTGTACCTTGTTTCCAACGCTGCTTGTCGGGAATGCAGCAGTTTAGTTTGAGGGACAGAGCTCTACTAGATCCTACTAGTATCTTAGTATACTGAATTTTATAACCACGAGTGTGTTGTAAAGCAAAGTAAGCTCGTGAGTCGTGAATTGCAAACAAAATTACCGTGACTATGAATAGAGGGCCTCGTTCTGTGACCGTGTTCTTTATCGAGTATGTCGAAATATTGTCGAATGGATAAAAAGAGTCCAATAGATATGTTCTCTTGGCTAGATGGCGCAGATACAGGAAATTGTGGGGACTCAGTGACATACGTTGCGATAAAAAAGATCGTAGTAACCTTCAGCAGTACACATTATTTATCCGCGCGATTTGAGAGAAAAGATGATCGTAGTTCGATATCAAGAACTGCTCTGTACCACCCCGAGCTACGCAAATAAAGCAAAGGACAGACAAAAAAAGATTATTCAAACTGAGAACAGTTTGAAGATATTTACCATGAGCATGTATCCAATTGCAATTCTTGAGGCGCTCGTTTGAGAGAATTCTTTCAACAGGTCCGTGACGGACGCTGAATCAAAAGCTAACATGCTAAACTCTTCTGTTTCTTGAACATCGTTATTGATTTCCTACAATGAAAGAAAACGTCGAATAGCGAATTAGGACTTTTACTCGTCGAAAGTTACTCGTAAGATTACTCATTAAATCTCTCCTATGACAGACAAGTATCTACCTCAAAAGAACGTTTTATAGAGGTTGTTCTTGCTTTTTTTTTCAGTAATTTTCTTTGGTTCTTTGTAGGGGGACATCTCTAAGACGAACGCGTTATTAAGTAAGCGCGTGGCGTCAACATGGGAGGATATTGGCCAATTTTTTGGCCTCTTTCTGAAGCTCATTTTTGTCTCGGTTCTTTAAAACGCAACCTTGACCGAACAGGCTTGTTCAGTAAAGGATCTCCGAAGACCAAAAATTCCAGCCTCGTTCCCAGGCCTCTCTAGCTTTTCCCAATGTCTCGAGCCAGCAACCAATGATCGGTTCATCGTGCTTACTCGGGTAGCCAATCGAAACACAGGATTTCCTTCATCTTGCCCGCTCGCAGAGCCAAACAAATTATAAGGATTAGAGCGCCGGTGCCCATTTACGCGGTGAACTTCCTTGGATAGCGGTGACTAGTGGTGACTGTAATCCCCATGAATTGCTACTGACACTTAAAAAATGTATATACCTCTGTAAACTTTCTTTGCCACGCTTCCAGAACTTCGTTTGCAGAATCCTCAGTCCAGTCTACAGTTAAATATTCAGAACTGTCAGCCCATCGCTTATGTAGGTCTTGCTTCCCTGCTAATACCAGAATTGTCTGCAACGCTTTCGCACTGAAATAAAAAAGAAAGCCCGATTCAGGCATACTCAGCAATAATTGCAATGTACTCGTACTTGGAAACGCTTTCTTATGGGATTACTCTCTCATACGCACAGCGAAATCATCAACTTACAACATATTCGAAAAAAACGATGGGGCTGTTGTCTCGTTGCAGTTTTAAATTATTTTTTCTCTTGCGTGTGAACAAATGCTGTCTATAAAAATCTAAACTAACGTAATCTGTTAACCTGAGAAACATCTAGGAGCTCTAGGACTGGAATTTTGAGGAGAGAAAGCCTGTGTGGCAGCCGCAGAGAAGAGCATAGGCAAGCGGGGGGGGGGGGGGGCAAGGGCCCCTCTTTTTTCCTTCCCCCCTTCTCCCCCCCACTTTTGGGCCCCTGCGTGGGGGGAAAACGCGAGGACGGGCGCCCGGGAAACAGAAAGGGCACAAAGAACAAAAACATCAACAAGTCTTTTTGGTTTTTTCCTCTCCCAGTCCTCGTTGTCACTCCCAGTTGCTCTATCGAATCATATAAAAAAAACATGAAAGGAGCAAGTGAAGTACGAAGGAGGAGAGAGGGGTGGAGAGGGGGGGGGGGGGGGGGGAGGGGGGTGGGGGGGGGGGGGGGGGGGGGGGGGGGGGGGGGGGGGGGGGGGGGGGGGGGGGGGGGGGGGGGGGGGGGAAGTGTCCCTCCTTTTTCGCTACCTCTCGATCCCCCACACCTTTGGACTCCTGTGAGAGGGGGAAAACCGGAGACTGAGCTCTCGGAAGCAAGAAGGACGACAAACAACAAACCTAGTCAAAGTGTTATTGTCTTTTTCTGTTCCACCAACCACCAGTTCTTCAGCCCATTGCATAAATTCTGTTGCAAAGCCTTTACATCCTCCAGTCAATTCTTTGGTAACATTCGGTGGCTTCAAAAATAAAAGGTCATTTTCTTGGCTACGTGCGGTTAACAAACAAAAACGATAAACTATTTATTTTATTTTATTTTATTTTATTAGCTTTGCCCTGAAGAATAAAAAAAAAACACTCAAGATATGCAAACACTAGTAATAAGAATACACTAATAGTAACTTAAATATTTGGGCAGGGACACCGCAACAGCTAAAGCCAATTACTGCAGACCCAAACAATAAAAAGATATAAAAGTAGCAATTTAAATCACATGCAGCAGCTAATTTCTTGGTCTAAAAAACCTGGCTGTGTTACATTTCAAGCAAATACTCTACGTAATACTTCAAGCAAAACTCCACGTAAGGTTAAACATGCGCATTTCTTGAACAGCGTTATGGTATATTTAGTTAAGGGCGAGTTTTCCTCTTCCTAAGTGTAACTACAAACACTCTTTAAAGCTCCCTATCTCTCTTTTTTCAACGCTCTCCTTCTTCAAGAACGGAGATTTATGCTCTTTAAGGTGTATATCACGAACAGTCCCCTAGCCCTAACCCACCCTCACCTGAACGCAAGCAATTCTCCCAAACAAGAAGTCATATGGAACTTGCAAATCTGATTGTGCCTCTGAAACACATTTGTATGATTCTGAATTTGCTATAGTTGTTAAACATTAACTGCAACCTGACGGCTAGTACACTACAGACTGTTGTTCTTCATTAAAACGAAAGCTCGAACAAAAAAGTCGCGCAACCGTCAATCTCGTTTTCAGTGATTTTCCTTTACAAATGTTCAAAAAAGACACCAGAAACGAGTTTTTGTCGCCGTGGATTACTCTTAAAAAATCCCTCTACACCCCTAAAAGGTTTAGAATTAAGAAGTCCCCAATGATGTTATAGAGGGTTCATTGTATACGCCACTTAAGAAACGGCTGAGAAGGAGACTGGAGCCGAAATGTGCCCCACAATTGTTCCTGGGATCTTTACTGGGCATGCGCAGGTCAATGCGCAGGTCAGCTATTGTTCATTATTTTCCCGGTCCCTAGTAACAATCCAAGAAGTCTTTGCGAAAGTTGACTCGGCCCAGGTTACTTCTCGTTTCTAAAAAAGCGAATTTCGGATTAAATACAGAAACCAGAATTTGCCGAAGCACTCTAGTCTAGGTGGGCGTTTAATTTTTTACCTTTCCTAATTTTGTCGGGGAGTTAGGAGCGGTGCTTGGGCAGCCTTTCTCCGTGGGGTCCAGACACGGCCTGTCTTGATATCCGTTCACTATACCAGCCTGTTAAAAATGCAAAGGAGTATACTAAGCAGACCTGCAGCGATCTCAGAGTGTATTTCAAAGTAGAAGTGTATTTCAGCGTGACCTGAAGTAGGATGGAGGAGTACTAAAATCGCAGAAAACATTAGTGGATTATGCCAAAACTACCAACGTTGAATGTATTGTGGACCCGAAGGTTTTATTCCATGGTTTATTAATTTACAGCTATTTTCGCAAAACAGCATTTTGATAAATGAGCATGCGCTGAAACGTGAACATGTCCCTTTAATGATGTCTGTGTTTTGTTCAAACACTCTAATTTTTGCTCTGGAATGCTGGAAATGCATTCTAAGAGGCCCAGATTTCAAACTCCGGCTTTTTCCAGAAACTCGTGCCTTTGCCGCGAGTTTTTTCCTTCTCCACCTACTCCAAAGCTTTTGCCACCTTCACAACAACTTCTTGAAAACCCTGTTAGCTAGCTATCAACGAAGACCTCAATGAAGGCTCTCTACAAAGTGGACACCTGTTTTAGACAGACACCCAGAGTTGGTCCCTTCCTTTGTTATTGACTATCTAAAAGGTGGACATTTTTCCAAGACAGACACCTAGAGTTGGTCCCTGCCCTTCTTCAATGATCAATCGAGGCAGAAACCACACAGCGAATAAAACAGACAATTAATACCGCATACACTCTCTCGATCTGGAACGCACGGAGACATTCAAATGAGTTCTTAAGAGCTCCTAAGTGCTTCGTGAGTAAATAAATTACAATGTTTACAAATCCCTCGGTACGCGAACTACACTTATGTGACCACCATCTCCTTTTGAATCCACGAACTGGGTGATCACCTTACAAGGTGATTAGGTAAGATACTGGGACCAGTTGGTAACAAACCACAATACCTTAGATTTTGTTTTTCCGCTGGGTACTTCCTAGAATAATGACATGAACAGTGACTAAATATAGTAAAAATACTACTACCACTTTCGTTTTTCAGTGACGGAATTTTTTATATCACTAAACCCATTTTGCTTAGTTTCGTTGTATGTATCACCAACCTTCAGGAACATCTCTGCAATTTCGTCTATGCCTTGAATGTCCCCCAATAACGGCAAAAGACCAAGAAGCTGTTTGGGATGGCTGACAGTCCATTCTAACAGACCAGCGACACTCCTAAAATGTTTAATCAAACATTTTGAGATAGTTGGCCTGCAAATACAGCTGTCTCCCTTCGCCCCTCGCAGACCCTTGCGATGAGGAGAAGCGAGGACAGGAGAGATGGCTGAATTCGCAGGCTATGAGTGAGTGATTGTAAGAGGGAATTTGTATTTAGATAATATACGAGAGTTTGAAGGCTAACAAACCAGTGGCGGATCAAGACCTTCAGATAAGAGGGGGGGAGGGGTCATCCTGACCCCTTCGGGCCTCATTTTGATCTAAAAATAAGGGGACCCCGGGGCCCCGGGGCCCCCGGGCCCCTCCCCTGAATCCTCCACTGCAAACAGGGGGCTTGACTAGCCACGAAAAGAATAGAAAGACTCGAAAACGATTGGTAATCTTTAAATTTACTTTTCAGTTTTCCAGTGTGGAAAGTTTGTATTATGTTTGTGAAGTTTCCAGGATTTTAAATTCTTTTGCGGGACGATTTGTGAAATGTAACAGAGGATGCAAGATTAACCCTTAAAAAACGCCTAAAAAGAGAAAAAATCGAAGATACTTAAAAGTCCACACAATTGCTTTTTGAAACGCCAAACATCGTCCAAAGGGCTACCTTGAGCTACCATGAGCAAAGGCTTACAGATGAAAGTACATCGTAACAATAAAAAAATGTGTAAAACGTTAAAAACGAAGACAAATCCTGACAGGTTTCGTACTTAATTTCATCCGGTAAAGACCCTCTGAGCTTCAGTAGTTTGGCTCCATCCCAGAAACAATCGAGTGGAGAAATTATTAAACATGGTACGATGGATGAAACAACCTGCAGAAAAAAAGGAGAAGTTTGATTAATTTATCTGGGAATTTGATAAAAGTCTGTCGCCCACCTGTTACGTTTACCGTAGAACCTCGATAACTCGAATTCCCCGCTAACTCGAACTGTTTTTCGTTAATTTCCCTTCAGAGTTTAAGTTACCGGGGTTCTACTGTAACTTTATCATATACTGAGACCGTTTCCGAATCCAAAAACCCTTACCTTTAAACCGAGGCCAAGTGCAAAACTTTCTAATGATAAATCAATGGCTTTGCCCTTAACCTCGCTTTGAAGCAGCGAATCCTCGGTGGTCTAGTGGTTTGGGCATGAGACTACAGATTTAGCACTCCGGAATCGAATCCTGCTCGTGACTAGAAAATTTTTTTTTTCCTTTAAAATTAAAGAGACTTGCACTTTGACGACATTTGCTGAGCAGAAACTAAGTCTCTGAGTCAAGAAACTTAGAAATTTCATGTAACGTAAGTGAAAAGGGAGAGGGCGGTTTGAGATATGGAAACATGTGCTTACCACTCATGACACGTCACTACCAAGAAGTAAAACTAGCTATGTGAAACGGGTACCATTGGTCAATAGAAGGAATGGTATATCAAAGGGTAAGGGGTTGAACCTCGGGACAGAACCTCTCCGTATAAACTTTGTCAAGGGGTCGTTACATTTCCTTAATTCCACTTACCCCATCTACTAACGAATTATTGAAAGACGGAACTTCCGGGACGTAACACAAGTCTGTATGAGTCCAGGTTCTGGGATAGAAAGAAAGGTGATTAACAATTATTGATTGAAGTTGAGTACCACGGAAAGAACTGTTATTCATTCAAATAATTCTCCGTTTCTGATCGGCTCAAATCCCCCGGCTAATTCTTCTTGACCGGATTTTGTAGACGTTTGCGAATATCCGGTAAAATGACGTCAATAGTAGAGGATATCGCCAGAAGAAAGGGACGGCATCCGAGAAGGTCTGGGGACGAGATTGCGTCAGCTCAGTTGTTTAGGTAAAGCTGGAGAAAATGGCGAATAATTTCTGCATCGGATAAATGAAGACCGGTTCAACTGAACATCGACCAAGGTAAGCATGTATCAATGTATGAATAGTAATTTATATTTTGCATGAATAATAAAACAATTACTGTATTCGGCCGAAAACACCCTCCTCAATGTGCATAGTTCTTCAGATTATACTCAGCCTCATCCATTAATTGCTAATTATGCAGATGGAGATGGATGTTTAATATGCGCTGAAAAAATTGCCTGTTTTCTCGACAGTTACAGAATATAATGGGATTTCAGGAGCCAATTACCTTTCTGCAAGCTCTCCCAGGGCTTCCGGGGGTGCGGGGGTGGATGAAGAAATAGGGAAAACTCCTTTTTAGTCCTGTAGAGCTTGCCCTCCTGAGGCAGTTATCATCCGTCGAGTTATATTTTTGTCGATCTCGCTAACTATGTTTTGCAGGCGGTAACTCGGCTACTTCGTATTCGCGAAACGTGTGAAAACTTCCAGTTTCTCCAGCTCTGCAATGCGAGAACAGCGGAGCCACCGAGCCGCTTCTTTGCCTGACGTCTGTGCGCCCCTTTAAAGTCGATAACATGACGATTGAGGTCAATCGTACATCAACAGTAGATTTTAAAAAAAGATATCTCCCAAATTTGGTCAGCGTTATCTGGTTATGAAGAATAAGCCAATTAAAAACTAAGAAATATTCTGAATGAATAATAATAAATATAATTTAAATAATATATTTATAGTACATTTCATCTCTATAATTTTCACAGGAATAAATGACGTAATTATAATTAATTATGGAATTCTTCAGGTACAAATGGGGTTATTAAAACACGTCATGTACGGCTGGTTATCTTACTTGTTGTACAGTGTAACCTTGACTTCAATAGCTTTCTGTACTTTTTCCAAGTGTTGCTGTAATAATCCTACAGACAAGATGTTCCCAAGTCCAGAATTAGATTTATGAATTAAGAGTTCGTTGGTGGTACCACTTCCTTCACCGACTACGTCTTTCGTGTATTGCAATTCCTTTTCCAGTCGTCCGTCAACTAAACGAAAGAAAACAAAAGAAAACAAAACAAGCATGAGTAACGCTCTTAACACTCCAAAACCATTTACGTAGGTCCTAGTCAAATAAAACAAATTTTTTTCGTGATTTTGTTTTCGTCCGTGGTTTTATTACTCTGGAACCGTGGGAATGGTTCTGTTGTTGTTGTCTCGTTGTTTGGAGAATTGGGACTATGATGCAAGCAAAATTGGGAGTGGTCCGCGGCCTTTCTGTGAGAACAGTTTAGTCTGCCGTGAGCAGAGAAGCCGATACGAAACTGAGAAACGCGTTACGCCTTTCGAAAGGCCCGTTTCTAGAAAGTCGCGATTACTTTTCGGGTCCGGAAAGCTGTTTTATGTTTGACGTGTTTGCATTCAAGATCAAAGCTTCAATAATTTTGGAAACGATACAATGAAACTATCAGTTGACTGGTTTCTCTGCTAGGAACTGTGCTAAATTTAAATTACCTCCGGGCCTGAAAAGCTACCGGGCCTCTGGAGAAACGTCAGAAACGGGCGTGCAAAACTTTTTGTAGTCAGGAGTGTCAAAATTGTGTATTACTAGTTTTGCCCCATCAATTAAAAATTTCGCGTGACGTGCTCCCTTTATCTAAATTATATTTATTAGCTTTTGAAATTAGCAAAAATGTACCGAAACTGTGCATGGCTATAATCCGGCCTCACAGCCAACAAGCCCCCAACGCCCCACACCCCCTNCCCCCCCCCCCCCCCCCCCCCCCCCCCCCCAACCCCTGACGCCTTCTGCATCATCGCCGACGCTTGGGCTATTCTGCGTGCAGGCTGCAAACGTTTCGCTCCCTGCAAGTTTTAAGAACAATAACTTTGTAAAGGCAGATTGAGATAAAAGCCAAATTACTTTGGACTGGAAAACACTTACTTCTTCCGACCTATATAATGATCTATAATATTGGGTCTCTAATCGTAAGTTAACAACATGTATACAAACTCAAACGTAATTAAATGTTCCTTCCTCTTTCTTTACACCGACAATTTTGATGTTTTTAAAAAACACTCTCACATTAGAGCCAATTTTTCTACCCATGTTGCGTAATCAATGTTTTTTGCAAGACGAATCAATCTAATGAAAAAAAAATGAAGCGTAAGTGACGTGATTGTATTACATGATTCGGAACAATTACGTCACGGGATTTGCTTATCCATTCCTCCTCTGCTGAAGGTGCCACTTTCCATGTAATTAGAAACAAAAAGGAATTTCTGAAATGAAAGACAATATTTTCTCTATTGGAGTTTTATACCAGCTGCCTCATGCTACATATAGTCTGATGTCAGATCACGCCACACCGAATGTTTCATTTGTATGCATGATTATCACTTCCGGTGCGCACAAAACATCCACTGGCTGATATTTACATCAATACTTTTGAAATGGATCGTTTCTTTTCATCTTGCCGTGAAATTGTTTGGTGAATAAATGAGAAAAGTGTGAATAAATAAATTTTTAAATATTTAAAAAAGTTCAGTTTTCCCTATTAAAGATTGACCGATCCGTCTGTTTGAACCTCAGTAGTAGCGTAGTAGTCAGCCTGTGTAGTAGTATCGTGACCTTCGCCGGTTTGGACAAATGGAAATGTATTTGATCTGTTACAGATTGAATCTAAAGCAACTCTTTCGCCATTTCAGTAGTTATTAAACAAGAAAGTTTCCTCCATCACTCAGATTTCCTAAATCAACAGTTAAACCACTTAAACTTGAAAATCGGCAAACCAAATTTTCCTAGTGGCAGGTTGAGCTCATGAGGGTAAGCTATGCACATGTGCATCTGTACTGTCAGATCAACAATATCATCACGTACTCATCCACAAGATCTCTTTACGTAAAGGAAAAGGAGTATTATATTTTTATTCTACCTCAAAGGTTTGCAGCCAAAGCTACAAATATTCAAACCAAAGTTTTATAAATCTCATCTTTCGACTCCCGGCGAACAACCTACTCCGACCGTGCCTGAAACTGCTGTAAGGCGGCAACATAGACATAGTTCGTCAAATCACTCACCTTCTACCCACAATTTCTCCACATCTGTCTCGATTTTTGCTTTTATGAGACCAACAGAAAATCCTATAAGAATAAAAAAGCCGACGGCGAGAACTGCCCAAGAGTGGCGCTGTGAGAAACATCCCAGTTTAAAAAATAACGCTTGTAGTTTCGTACGAAGCTTCAGCGCGATCTGACTACCCATTCCATACGTTTAAAGCCAGCGATGAGATGGCACATTGAGAAACAACTGTGTCAACTCCTATAACAAGATATACAAACTTAACCCTTACGTATGAACTTTCGTGCACGTAAACATTCTCACGTTGAAACACCCAAGCCCGCTTGAAACACTACATAGATCCGAGGCTGACCGGAAATGTTATTTTCATGTAAATGAAGCACGTACCTGTTTTGTTGTTAAAAATAATAGTTCGGTCTGTTTACGATAGTCACTAACAAACAAACAAAGAGCGCGGTTAACTTATCTTTTGTTCGGCGAATATAGATTTACAAAGGGTAATGAATTTGCACTTTTTTTTCCGAAAGTTAGCAGTTAGTTTAGCACCTTCTTTTTTGATAAAAAAATGTATGAAAAGCGGCTGCTCCTTGATAAAAATATTTTACACAGCGTCAACAAAGCAAGCTAACGTTTCCGTAAGCGGACGACGAAAAGCGTTTCCCTCCCCTCCCCTCCTCCCATCCCTAATTTCTTTGCTCCTTGTTCATGTTACCATCCGCGTCCCGCGCGTTTCTCCGCTTGATTAGCAATGACTTCCTCGCGGGATAAGGGCGTGCTGTCTAGGACCACGAGAAGGGTATAAAAGTCCCAATTATCCCCTGGAACACGGTCTATTACCCCTTTAAGCCCTAAGAGTGATCAGCATCAAATTTCTCTTTGTAATATCAATGCTTTGTAAAGCAGAGTGGTCATGAGAATTGACAAGATGTATTTGCTTGATATTTCATCAACTTCTCCCTATTACGTCTATAGGAAATGAATACGGGTAACAAATGAGAATTCAAATGTTGATCTTATATCAAGTGAAATATATATAGTCAAGTGCAGATAAGAGAGAAAATGTCTTTCGAAAGACGCAAATTTCTCTTTTTTCTTTTCTTGAACACGTCCAGAGACTAAGGCCCGTTTCAAACGTCGCTATTGCCGTGCCGAAGTCAGTTGATCGAAATAAATTCGACCTTAGCACGGCAAGACTGTTCACAGTCCTCTATTTTTCCGTAAGATCGCCGAGATCGAGCGCTATGTGTTACTATAATCCCCGACGCCCACCCCCTCGGTACATTTGAAAATCAAGATACCCGTGACGGTAAGACGCGGTATATCTAAACGACCTCACGAAAAAATAGGGAACCGTGAACAGTCTATAGCACGGCAGGAGCTGGGTGTCCGGGCCGGGGTCAGGGTGTCGGTGTCTGTTTGTTTCTTTAAAGAATGCTGTTTTAGGGTTAGGGTTAGGGTTGACACTAACCCTACCCCTAACCCTAAATAACCCTAACCTAACCCTAACCCTAAAACTGCATTCTTTAAAAAAAAAAAGATAGACCGCAATCGCGGCTCCGACCCCGCGTTTTACTGACACCCGCAGGAGCTCGACGTCTGAAACCAAGTCGTGCTCGTGTCGTGCTGCAGTCGAGCTATAGCAGTAGGACGACGTTTGAAGCAGGCCTAAGAAAGCCATTGGCTATTATGGAAAATGGAGAGATATACCCCCGTCCCGATAAGCTTGCCCCAACTCCCCTAAGTTGCCTAGTGATAGGAATAGGAAACTTACAACTCAAAGCAAACGAGGAATGAAATCAAGCCTCAACAACTGGCCAAAGTTATTGACATAACTTTATTCATTAAATATCCGATATTTTGTTTATCAGTGATAATAATTTAATATCTGTTCGTTGGTCTGCCTCTTATTCAACAACTTTGCAGACCATACGACTAAACGACGAACGGGTGATATTTTTGTACCTGGTTAATCGGGAGTATTATCAATCAACTTATCGTCTGCGGTTTGATATGGGTTATTAAATAAATAAGTTACGGACCACAGCCTTTTTATACCTCAGTCGCACCTCCATAAACTTCTACCCAAACAGAAGTCGTCTGAAATGTCATACGTCTCCCCCCTAACCCGTGAGGGTGAATGAACTATTAATTATTTCTTACGCTTCCTCAATAAAAAGACAGTAATCCAACAGCCAAACGCCTTAAAGTCGGTTTAGGAAACTGCCACGACTCGTTTTTTTTCAACTCAGTTTACGGCGTTTAGACATTGGATAAAACACGCTCCTACTCGTGTTTGATATACAACATAACCCGCATATAAATCGCATATCTGCAAATGCCTAGAATCACAAAATGTTGACGAAAAAATGGGGCAGTTTCAACTGAGTGTTACTAAACAAAAACCGATTTAAAATTCAACAATCACAGAAGTTAACCTCATTGAACCATTTGATCAGAATCAAGGAAGGTATGAACCCTTACAAAGAGAAGACGAGTTGCTCGCAGAAGTGGTTAATATTCGCCTCTGCCCGCTGACGCCACAGATTTGCAATGTTGCCAACTCAGAGATTTTAGGCGGGAAAAATTCTCATGGTTATTTGTTACGAGACCTCGAAGCAACTACGATGATAACGCGCGTTGCAGCACGACTGTCATCGACACTCTAGCTAAAACCGCCCTCAGTGCAATAATAAAATGAAACAACTTAAGAAACGACTTAAGAAAATAACCATTTGACAATAAGCTGACTAACACTCCCTTAACTCACTTGTGGACCCTTCAGTGGCTCCACAAACGTGAACAACCACTACTAAACAATTGGACAACGACAACGGACAGGGTGCTAAATTCCTATTGAAAGGCAGCGAATGCAGAAAGGCGACAAATTACACTTCCTTCAACAAAATGACGACCCAAAGTGATAGAAATACCTACTTTTACTGTCATTTTACACTAGGATATGCATCTAAACCTTCTCAAAATATTCTGTACAGTAAAAAGGAACAAACGTTTGGGATGAGATACATAATTGTAAGGATGGAAGTGAATAAGAGTTCATCAAAGTTGAATTCGTCAAATCAGTGCATGAAATTTGTGATTAAAATTGCCATCCGTAATAGTACTTTTCATTTCTTGATCAGCGCTTGCTGTCTTTCTTTTATGTCCCTTGGGCAAAAAGTTGTAGACTTCGTTACCTCTGGTATAAAGAATGCAGTGTTACTTTTTTCTTCGTGATTCTCTAAGATAACAGCAAAAATGTCGCTTTCACTGTTAAGAGTCGACAACTCGTTACGTAGTTGCAACGTTTGAATGAGTCCCCTCCACTACGCAGCCGTCTTCGTCTCGTCACGCAACGCGACACGAAAATGGCTGCGTAGAATACTTCTGAGTTTGTTAAATACATCCTCAAGTGTGACCATTCGAATGATTTTTTTTGTTTGCTTATTTTGTGTTTTGGTAAAACTAATGGGGGTGAAACCGTAACCACAATAAATCATTCATTCAAGAAATCGTCCAACGCTTGGGGCGGGGGTGGGGGAGGGGAATCTGTAATTTGAAAACAACCAAGGAAATGGCTGACCCCGCCTACAGCTTGTGCAATTTGGAGAGAACTTTGCAAAACCTCCATATTAAAATGGAGAAATGCACTTGCGTTCTAATCTTTTTGTTGTTGTTGTTGTTGTTGTTTTTGTTTTTAACAAAAATACAGGTCGCCATTTATGTTGAGGAAGTATGTATTATCGCTGCCTACCTCGCTACTTTCTCTCTATAAATATAAACGAAACCCATAAACGATATGATAGATTATTCTTGATTACCTGGGATACTGACGTGGACCAAGCCAGCTTGTAGATACAGATAATTACACCTTTGAACTTTGTACACCAATATAAATAATGTGAATATTCGTCGTTTAAAATCTAAATTGTAACTGGGCTCTTATTGAGTGTTCCTGTGATCTAAACCCTTTTTCCGGTAATATACACTTTGCAATGTTCTAGTAAAATCCAGTTTTACTGTTCCTTGCTGTTCTGCACTAAACTGAAACGGAGAAAATTGAATTTTATGTAATCGAATCTAGCTAAACGTTTCTCCGATTGGGTGCACTTATCTTAAGAGTTTCCACTATACACGAGAACTATTACACTCTCGACTCGAATCGCGCGTGTACTATCCCCCACGCACGTAATGTGTTCCACGCGTGTTCATCCACGAAGGGAATGCCTGTGCGAAGTTTACTCAAAAAGCCATAGTCCATGAAGCTTTGGCGACTGACAGTAAACGACCTTAATTTTTACCGATCAACTACCTCTTCAAGTCGGCGCCATAATCTTCTAAACTGGTGATGTGCATCTCCTCTTCATCAATTTCTTCCTCGCTGTGAAATGGCCGACCAGCTTGAGCCCCCGCGCGAAAGTTCGGATGCGAGGATCTCTCCGATGTATGTTCGGTATGGACTTCGACTGTAACCGTGGCCCGAGTGGTCACCCGCGTAACTGTCGAACTAGACGAGTCAGAATCCACAGGGGGGGTACACCTGTTTGGATTAGACCGCTTGTTTCCTCTACTGTTACTTCCATGGTGACCCTTTTTACGACGCGGACGTCTACCCCCGGATCCAGAAGATTTCTCTTCCTGCCTTGCGATGCTTTCCACAATGCAAATTTCCGAGTCCGTTGGAGGTGTTCTTTGCCTGCAGCTTGAACCTGGTAGAAATTCTCTATTAGATCCCGCCGAGGAAGCCGTTCTTGGTGGCGCTAATTCTTCAACCTTTGGTTAAAAAAAGGGAAAAGAAATAAACAGTTACATCTTTTCATCAAGCTTTATGGCGAAGCCAAAAAAAAAACACACACACACACACATGAAACGCCATACAGTTAAAGAATCATGTTCTGGACAGCTTTTAACAAAATTGTCACTTAGGTTTAACTACAGACCAACAGAGGTTAATCCTATCCAGCAACAAAAAGGAAAAACACTTGTGACACAAAAAATACCCTCAAATCCGGCCAAATTCAAGAACGGTCCTAAAATCTGGATGCCATGATTCCAAACCTCTGAATTTTGAATTCAACTGTCCTTAACTTGTGCCATTTCTCGACAATTATTATTCTGAACAAGCATTGCTAACAGTTTCAATTGAAGGCACTGCTTGACGGTTGTTAGCTGAAGAGGCAGCATAACGAATACTTTGTTGTAGTTAAAAAAACTACATCACAGGGGTATGTCACTTGTTGAAAATTCTGCTTTGCTTCTTTATCGATCGAAATAGCACAAGCTGACATACGGCATGCGGCACACGCCGGAAAGAAAAATTCGCCCACA